TGCAATGAGGAGGCATTGGCGCTCCCTGAACTTGGTGGTTTGCTGGCAGATGTTTTATTACCCGACTAGGTAACAACATCAGATGTTACCTAGTCAGGTAATGAAACGTCTGCAAGCAAACACCAAACTCGGACTCCCCCCCCCCCCAGTCCTTGAAAAAGTGTTTCTGCGTGAAACTGGTCCCTGGTACAAAAAAGGTTGGGGACCACTGTACTAAACCATGGCATGAGAATATAAACTTCTATATTCCATGCATCTAAGTGAAGGAGGTGTGAACCAGGGGTGGGTTTCTACTGGTTCTGTCCACCTCTGTAGAACCGGTAGCTCTGAAAAGCAGCAGACATAGAACCGGTTCTATGCCTACTGATGTTTTTGCCCATCCACCCACCTGGGCTCTTACCTGATCTTTATTTCCTGATTTTTCAACTTCAGCTACCGAACGAGGCACAGCTGCAGTTAGAAAAGCAAGAAAAGAGGGCTGTTTCAAAGGCTGCTTCTCTGCAGGCAGCTGCTGATGACGATTTACAGGTGCACGGCTCGCAGCCTGCAGAGAAGCTCGTAAATCCCAAACTGGTAGTTAACCCTGTCGTATCCCACCCTGATGTGGACCAATTCCTTTTCTCCAATCTTCCAGTAAGACCATCAGCATTTTAAACACTTTCTCATAAAATCTCTCATGCCTCAAGGGTTGGGCAACCAAATACTTAAGAGTTTTCTATATGCAGGTGGCTGTGACTTGTTTGGTTTTGTATAGAATAGCAGTCATTAAGATGAACACCCTCTACAATTCGAAATGGTACTGTGTGGTTATAGACATGCTACAGCAAGGACTCAGTTCCCACCGATTGAGCTGTCCTCATGCAGAAAATACTGTGCAAATGATTAAAACTATGAATACTTTTTTAAAAAAATTCAACTTTCTATCCTTATTTATTAAATAGAAAAAAAAATAACAGTACTGGTAGTCCCTGACTTATGACTACAATTGAGCTCCAAATTTATATTGCTAAGTAAGACATTTGTTAAGTGAGTTTTGCCCCATTTTATGACCTTTCTTGCCACAGCTGTTAAGTGAATCACCACAGTTGTTTAAGTGAATTGGGATTCCTCATTGACTTTGCTTGTCAGAAGGACGACAAAAGTGATCAGGTAACCTTGGAACACAGCAAGGGTCATAAATATGAACCGGTTGCCAAGAATCTTGATTACATGACCATGGGGATGCTGCAAAGGTTGTAACTGTGAAAAATGGCCATAAGTCCTATGTTTAGTGCTGTTGTAACTTTGAACGGTCACTAAATGAACTGTTGTAAGTCATGGACTACCTGTATTAAGAAACACAAAGAATAGAAATGTGTGCATATGTATGATGTGTGTGTGTGTGTGTGTGTGTGTGTGTATTTTCATAGATTTTCATGGGTACAGGTATGTAGGTCTTGGCGTGTTCGGGTCTTTTCCTGTATTAGATTGAGAGTATCTTGGCGACGTTTCGACGAGGTCCCACTCACCATCTTCAGGCTGGTGCTTTCGGCTTCGTGCTTGTGCGAGCAAAGCGTGATTGGAGCTGCCGTCTCTATAAATACTGGTGGGGAGGTGTGGTGTGCTGGCTCTGTTGTAAGCAGGCTGGTTGATTGTGTTGTTATTTCTTGATTGGTTGATTGAGTTGATGTTTGCAGATTAGTTGGCTTTTTTGTAAGAACCTGTGTGGCTGAGGTACTGGCTGAGTCGTTACAACACAGGAGGCTGATAGACACACAGACAGTTTGGGAAAAGACCCGAACACGCCAAGACCTGCATACCTGTACCTGTGAAAATCTACGAAAACAAATATCATACCTCTACAGGGAGGAAACCTTCCAGCTGACCAGGACCTACGAGAAACTCGAAGTCCGAAGAGCCACCATCTTATGTGATCTCACATTCCTACACAATTGCCGAGACAAAAAAGTGATCCCGACATGATTTCAACTCAAATTTCATTCCAAAACCTCAGCCACTGAAAGGATCCTGAAAAGAACCTGAAAAGCCCTAATCAGAAACGAACTCCACAGGAAAAGATTCCTACTAGACCAAACCAACAGGGACCTACTTACTCTCCACTTCAAACTCAGCAACAAAATCCACCCAGCACTCTGGAACAAATCCAAACAACTGGCCCTCTGGAGAGCCGAAACAGAAACCTCCCACAAGACAGACACACACACCAGCAAACTCCACAGATTAGAGAAACACCAGAAGCCCAACCCCTCCCACAACAACGCATGAAACAAACAGTTCACAACATATCAGACAGAACCCTCACCAGAGCAGAAACCAATGTCCTTTCCAAGGGATTCAACTTTGCAGTCGCCCCCAAATGCATCCCCACTGAAAACATTATATGTGGAGTTGAAGCTAGCCTAACCAAAATTAACCCAGTTGTAGCCAACAAAATCAGACTTGAAGTCACCAACGTCCTCTGCTACAGCAGTCCACCCAGAAGCAACTTACACAGAGAAGAACAAAAAGCACTCACCAACTTGAGGAAAGACAACAACATAATCATTCTTCCAGCAGACAAAGGCAACGCCACGGTCGTGATGAACACATTGGACTACCAATCCAAACTATCCAACCTACTCCAAGACCCCGCTTACAAATCTCTAAATACTGACCCCACCACCTACCTGGAAAAATCCACCAAATCCAAAATAAAAGCCTCCCCCATCAGTGAAGAGATCCAGCAAAGAATCATCCCCAGAGAAAAATCATCCAGATGTCCTAAACTCTATGGCCTCCCCATGATACACAGAGAAGGAACACCACTCAGACCCATAGTCAGCTCCATAGGCTCACCTCTACAGAATCTTGCCAAATTTCTCGCCAAACAACTCCAGCCCTACACAGAATCCATCACCTCACACGTACAAAACTCTTTCCACTTCATAGAAACAATAAAGAAACAAAACCTACAACCCAGCGACCTACTTGTGAGCTTCGATGTCCTATCCCTCTTCACCCAAGTACCTATTAAAGAAGCTTTGACAGCCATCCAAAACAAATACAACCCCCCTAAGCACATCCTAGATCTGACCAACCACTGCCTAACCAACACATACTTCATCTACAATGGACAAAGATACAAACAGATAGAAGGAGAACCTATGGGATCCCCCCTCTCACCCATCATCGCTAACCTATACATGGAACACTTTGAAACCAATGCTCTAGACAAATCCAAACACAAACACAAACTCTGGCTTAGATATGTAGATGACACTTTCGTAATTTGGCCACACGGGAAAGAAAAACTGGACAACACACACCTCAACAGCCTACACCCCAAAATACAATTCACCATGGAAACAGAAGCCAACAACCAACTTCCCTTCCTGGACGTCCTAATTTACAAAAAACCCAATGGCTCCCTAGGTCACACCATCCACCAGAAGAAAACACACACCAACTGCTACTTAAACGCACAGTCCCATCACCACCCTGCACAGATCAACTCCGTAGCCAAGACCCTCATCTCCAGAACCAAACGCCCAGCTGACAAAGACCACCTGAGAACAGAATTACACACCCTCACTAACGTATTAATTTCCAACAGATTCCAAAGAAGCACAATTACCAACCTAATCCTAAGGGAGACACCCCCCAGAAACGGAGACACAGAACAGGACAACGGTATCGCCCTCCTCCCCTACATCAAAGGCACCACAGATAAAATCAGCAAAATTCTCCACAAACACAATATCAGGACAGCCTTCGGCACTGACCAAAAAATAGCCAACATCCTAAGAAACCCCAAAGACAAGATCCAGCTAGAAAACCAAGGAGTTTATGAAATACCATGCAACAATTGCCCAGCCATATACATTGGACAAACCAACAGGAGAATAAATGCACACATCGCAAAACACAAGAACGCAGTCAGAAAAGAAGAAAATGCTTCCTCCCTTTTCCAGCACTTTAAAGCCACAGGACATGAAATTAATTTTGAGGGAACCAAATTAATCTCCAATACTGAACACTTCAACAAGAGAATAATCAGGGAAGCCATCGAAATAGAGAAACACCTCCATAACATGAATAAACAGGACGATGCCTCCCGCCTACCAGACATCTGGAAACTAGCCCTTATTAACAAATGAGTCCCAGCCACGAAAACCAACACTGGACCCAAAACAACACATGACATCACCACCATTCTCCCTCCCCAGACTCAAACCCAAACCCATCCCATAGATGAAAGACAACCACCGTCCAGAAACCAGACCACAGCTGCATCACCAGCTGCCACACACCCTGACCCCCAAACCAAGCAAACAGACACATGCCATTAACACATATCCAGGCCTCAAACTCGGAGCCAAACCAAAACATCACATCACAACCACCCGCTCAGGATATCACATCACAGAATTCAGGAGGTTACACCACAAAACCTCAGGATGTTACAACACAGCCAATGACCCAGGAGATTACAGCACAAGACCCAGGATGTCACAACAATAGAACTCAGAAGGTCATCACACAGCCCATTACCCAGGTCATTACAACCCAGGAGATTACAGCACAAGACCCAGGATGTCAAAACAATAGAACTCAGAAGGTCATCACACAGCCCATTACCCAGGTTGTTACAACACAGGAGGCTGAAAGACACACAGCCAGTACCTCAGCCACACATGTTCTTACGAAAAAGCCAGCCAATCTGCAAACATCAACTCCATCAACCAATCAAGAAATGACAACACAACCAACCTCCCCACCAGTATATATAGGGAGACGGCAGCTCCGATCACGCTTTGCTCACACAAGCACAAAGCCAAAAGCACCAGCCTGAAGATGGCGAGTGGGACCTCGTCGAAACATTGCCAAGATGCTCTCAATCTTACACGGGAAAAGACCTGAACATGCCAAGACCTGCATATATATATACATATATTGTGAATACCCAAACAAAGCTGAATACCAAATGTGTGTGTGTGTGTATGTGTGTGTGTATGTGTGTGTGTATGGTATTCAGCTTTGTTCAGGTATTTTCCCACGTCTTTATAGTTGTGCTTTTAAAGTTGTAGCGACGTTTCAGTTCACATAAAGACTGAACTATGCACCCTGACTGAAGTACTGACAGCCAACGGCTTTCAGAAAAGCAAAATCATGAGCCTGATCCACAAAAGCACACTGAGACACAATAAAGACCTAGAAGATGAACAGACCTATGGAATAGCTGTCCTGCCCTACATAAGAGGCACAACAGACAGAATCAGTAAGATACTACATAGGCATCACATCAAGACAGCCTTCAAAACAGACAGAAAAATAGCAGCCATCCTAAGAAACCCCAAAGATAAAATTGACCTGGAAAACCAAAGCATATATGAAGTCCCCTGCGCATCATGCCCGGCCACATACATCAGACAGACCAATAGAAGAATAAGAACCCGCCTTGATGAACACATGAATGCAGTAAAAAAGCTGGAACACACTTCCTCACTAGTCCAACACATGAAAGCCACAGGTCATAGCATCGACTTCAATGGCACCAAAATCCTAGCCACTATAGAAAACCCCAGCTACAGAATTATCAGAGAAGCCATAGAGATTGAAAAACAACCTGAAAGCATGAATAGAAGAGATGACTCCCCCAGACTGTCAATTATCTGGAAGCCTGCACTCACAAACAAACAAATCTCCACACCACAAGCCAAGCAAGCACCTGGGCACAAACAGACACCCCCTGATACCTCCAGATGAAACCTAGTTTCATAATAAACAACAGCCGGCCATTCACCCGAAGCCAAGTTGTGCTGAAAGCCCCCAATATACAAAACACAATGTTGCCAGCTAATCAAGACAAAAAACGCTACAAAACAGACAGAAGATATTACAAACACAAATCAGGTAGAACACAGCCAACTCCAAGACCAATAAACACAGACCAAGACTCCCAACCAATCAGGATGAAGAAAAAACCATTCAAACAAAGCACGAGGCTAGCACCAAATTTAGTACAGAAACTGCAAAAGCCTGACACACATGACAAAAAGAACCCAACACACGAGCCTGATGATGGCAGATGAAATTCTGCTGAAACGTCACTACAATTTTCAAAGCACAACTATAAAGACGTGGGAAAATACCCGAACAAAGCTGAATACCATCCATATAAATACCCGCAAAAACATAAGAAAACAAATTATAGATAGATGATAGATAGATAGATAGATAGATAGATAGATAGATAGATAGATAGATAGATAGATATGCTTGTCTCTTGTGCATTTAAAGTTTTACACAATGGCTTTAAATAAAGATAATCATGCAGGTAGACCTCGTGTTATGACAGCAATTGGGGCTAGAATTTCTATCACTAAGCAATGCAAATCAAAAAGTGTGACATTATCTTACTGCATTGCTTGATTATGGCAATCCCAGCAGTCCCAATTGCTGTCATAATCTTGAGACACACAGGTCATTAAATGGGAAGTGATGGGAGTCCAAGGCAAGTAGGCCAGCAGATACTGTGGGGGCAAGGATGCCATGGGCAGAGCTGTGTGTGTGTGTGTGTGTGAACAAAATATTTTAAAAATAGACTTCTAAACTAAACTACAGTTTAGTTATTTCTAGTTCTGAATTCCAGTACTTTTATTAGGTCATTTCAGGGTCACAAATATTGCACATATTTCCAAACTGAACTGGCTTAAGTATTTTTCCTAATATGAATTTTGGATTTTTGTTATGGTTCCCTTGCTTTTCATATTGTTTCTGATGTAATAAACAGTGTCTCTCTAACTCCAGGAAACACTGAAAAACTCTCGTTTTTTTAAGGTGTGCAGGCCCCACTATCAAGAGACCCAGGAGAGTGAATCACCACTGGCTTGGTTTCCTTGTATGAAAAATGATGTTCTTCAGGATACAGACATGGAGAAAACACATTTGAATGACAGAATTTGGCTGAAAGTGAGTGGATTTGGCAGTCGCACAATGAGAAAAATGGCAGTTAGTATGTGCATGCCGATCTCCAGGCTGATCATACTGAGTTTTGGCAGCTAACTGTGGTTTAACTGCTAAGCATTATAAACTGCTAAATGCTAATCTTCTGCTTCACTACAACTTTGGATACCCTATAATCCCTAATGTTTTACTAGGCTCTTATTGTCTTTTTCTTCAGAACTATTTCTGGGATGAAAAGCCCAATTCACTGTGAAAAATTCGCTTTTTCTTACAGTTTTAATTACCTCATCCCCCCCCCCCCCCCCGTTAGATATTTCCAAAGGGTAACCAAAATAATTTTTAAAATGTAGATTTCATTTTAGACATTTAATATGGTAAACAATTCTGGGTCAATGCTGATATCCAGGTCTCTCTAGTTGAAGAGTTCCTTGACTTGCTGAACCAAATTGATGCTGATGACATGTTCGGAGATTCCCATTCTTTGGTTTGACGTGATCAACACAATCAAGCAAATTTCTATAGTCAATGAAGCAGAGAACTTCTTTTTGGTGCTTGGCTTTCTCAATTATCCAGTGTGCATCAGAAATTGTATCTCATGTTCCTTGGTCTTTTCTGGCATCTTCTTTTCCATATAGGGCTCGAAACAGCATGGGATGATCCTAAGCATTATTTTGCCTGTACACAAAATTAATAATATTGTACAATAGTTTCCATACTCCGTTAAGTTTCCCTTTTTTGATAATGGAAGGGAAGATGATTACTTCCAATATGTTGGTCATTGTGGTATTCTCCAGAAATGTTTGGCATAGTGTGCTTAGAACTCTTACTAATTCTTCTGTTGCTTGCTGTATTTCTGTAGATATTCTATCAATTCCTGTAACCTTCTGACCCAGGAATAAATAGAGTGCTGATCTAACTTCATCTTCTAGTACTAATACTTGTGAATAGGAAATATTTTATAAGGTAACCTGACAGTGGACTGTTTTATCAAATTTTAGTATATGGTATTCGATTAATTTTTAAAACTTTCTTTGAATCTGTTGCTATCTGTTCTTTTAACATACCAGTTCAGGGTTAGAAATTCCTTCTGAGTTTGGAGATCTTTTGAAATAGTTTCTTGTTTCTTTCTTTTCTGTTTTTATCACCAATGTCTTCACAAATGTCATGGTAAAACAACTAGACAGTTATCTGAAATTCTTTGTTAGGTCCCTTCCTGAGATCTTGGCTTTGACTTCTCTTCTCCACTTGGCAATTTGTGCTATTTGTTCTGACATCCAGTTTACTTCCTTCTGTTTCTTGGTCTTTTCACATGCATGCTTAACAGCTTTTTTGTTTTCATAGTCCCATAGTTCTTTTGGTTCTCTATCAGTGAGGTTCAGGGTTTCAAAGCCATTCCTGATGTTTTTGAAAATGTCAGGCATATGCTGAAAATTATGTTAGCTTTCTTCTTCCATTTTAGCCTATCTTGGAATACTCACATGAACATTTTGTCATCTGTTTCACGGTCCATGGTCACATCTTTGCTGGTAAAGTTGAGCTGTTCTTCTACCTTATGCCAATAACAAAATCAATTTGATTTCATTATAGTTCATCTAATGACGTCCACGTAAACAAGCATTGTTTTGTTTGCTTGAAGGCTGTGTTAGCAACTGGTAAGGCATTCTCCTGGTTTATTTCTGCTTCCTAGTTCATACAATTGAATTAAGTTTTCTTCCTTACTCTTTCTAGATTTAGCATTCCAGTCTCCAACCCCAAGTAGTGCACATTTCTTGCATGTTCTGCCATTTTGATATTGAACTTGTCCATGCAACTCATCAGCTTCTTCTTCTTCTGCATCAGTTGTTGTATAAATTTGTATAATTTTCATATTAAAAAGATGTCTGCAATCCAGTTGATATCATTTGGTCATTAACTTCAATATACCTAAACTTTCTTTTTCTGACTATGAAAGCAATAATATTGCTTCAGAGTTATTCACACCTTGTACAGTAAGCGGTAAGATTTTCCGGCTGAAAGTGTCCAATTCCAGACTATTTCAGTTTGCTGGTGCCTAAGATATCAATGTATGGTTGATTTGTTTCACTGTTTACTATGTTCAGCTTTCTCTGCCTCATGATTTTTACATTCCATTTTTCCACTATAATTCCTTATGGCTTCAGATTTTCTTTTTCTGCATGGTAGCATCAGCAACTAGGCATCTCAAAAGTTTTAATCTTGGCACATCATCAATACCATTAGATTCCTCAGTAACATGTTGAGTTCCATCAGTTTGATGATTACATCATCTGGCACTCATATTGTCAGCCTCTTTATATTGTCCATCTTTTTTGGCAGTTTGGTAAAACACAGGAATGGGTATTGCCTTCTGCTGAAATGATACATTGGCCATTGCCTTTGATCGGCCACCTCCATCACCTTATATTGCTCTTGCCCAATATTGTGTGCCTGCTAGCTTTAGCTATACAGCTGGGATAACTGTCATGCCTTGAGTGGACTTTGCTGGAAGTATTCTTTACTTATCTCTGCCAGGAACAACTTCGTCCCCTAACAACGAGGTGGATTAGTATCAAAGTGGAGAAGAAATACGTTGAATGTAAAATGAAGAATTTGAGAATAAATAATACTTAATAACAAATTTCAGGATATACACATTTTAAAAAGACTTTTTTAAAAAGACTTTTTCATAAATAAAGAAATCTACTAAAGAAAACAGAGAACAGAAATGAAAAAATAAAAAATAAAGTGCAATAAAAAAGAAAAACAAAAGAACTAACTAAAGAAAAGAAACTAGAGGATTCCTGACATTCTTTTCAATAGATTTGAACAAACCATCATCTCCACTTCCTCTTAACTATTCCAGAAACCCCTTCAGCCCCTTATCTCTCATTTTTTTTCTATCATTAATCCATAAAACATCATTTCACCCTTTTTTAAGCACACATTTCATAGAAGCTTTCCAGGATTTTAAAATTTCTCTATTGTTTCCTACCTGATCGGTTTTGCCATTTCCACAAATGTCAGCTATTTACTTCTTGGATTGTGGGTTTTGTTTTTATTTATTTATTTATTTTTATTGAATTTACACTTCAATAATATTTGAAGGATAATGCTACTTCTGTAGTATAGATGAGGATATACACACTAAGAAGTCAGACTCATTGAATTAGTGGCTAAAATAAAATTGCCATTGATAATTTTCATTATTACAATGAAATCACTTATTAAATTGGAATTCTTGATTATATACTACTAGCTTTTGAACAAGTGAATAGCTTATTTTATAAATTACATACCTCTGGCTTCCATGATGCATCCCCAGAAATGACCAAAGGATGGTCCCGAAGAACAAAAATGGTATTGAAGCACATGTTTAACATAAAATTAATATGTCCCCCCCCCAATTCTACCCTATTGTAGCACAAAAGTGAAAGTTGGGGGGGGGTCATTCTCTTACCCTAATCTTGATCTGATTCACAGGGGATGTTCAGCCATGGAGAAAATAGGTAATAATAACAGCTGCATGTGAATAAGAAAAAAAAATCGTTTAGCAAACAAGATTGTGGGAATCAGAGGGCTTCCCAGTTTGAATGTCTGGAAATCCTTAGAGTGATCCTTGATAACTGAGAACTATCCACATGGTTACTGAATACTGAAGGATCCAGCTAAATATAGATGCTATTAATTGAAAATTTTCTGTAAAATGGGTCCATGGAAAACCATTTCCTACCTCACTTATTCAGCTTCAGTTTTGTTTAGTTAAGGAAGCATATTGCTTAACATTAGATTAACCGTGATGCACGTTCTTATATATGGTCCATTATTGGCTGGGCTTTCCTGAAAATGAAATAGGGAGTTAAATTACCACCCCTAATAGCTCTGAGAGTTCAAACAATAATTTTGAAGAGCAATTTGAGTAGCCAAACTAAATGAACTCAATTTCAGATTTAAATAGGAAAATTCTAGGATAGCTGGGATGGGTGATTGGGTGAAGAAGAGATTCTGTTTTTCTGTCACTTCTGTGACAGAGTTGCTGTTTTTGCTCATGCCATAGCATACTCAGACTTTGCCATGTACTGGTGTTGTTTCAGGTGTGTTTCAGCCAACCCAGAGTGGCTACTTCACTCTTTGTTTTCCTGGCATCTGTGGGCACTTCCAATGGTGACCATCTCAAGCCATCTATTACAATACACTTGGGTGACATCAATGGTCACCACCATTTCCTTGGTGAGTCTGTAAGTGATATACTAAACATTTATCTAGGCATTTCTGTGAAATTAACCCATTTCTTTGCTTTTGTGAGGAACAATGCATTAATAAGATTGAAAAGATATTTTTCTTTTTTTTATTCCCAGACAGCTTCAGGTGATTTGGTAGAGTAAATATTACTTACAAAATGTAGATTGATCTTGGCTTTGCACTAAGCATATTTTGCAGTATATTTGTATGCAAGATACAAAAACTTTTGACCTGATAGATCAATATATATATAGAATACTAAGGGAAACAAAACATTGCTATAATTCAGTGTTCTGTTTTATATAGGTAGCAGCTTCATTTTATGTTAATGGGATGTCTCATGTCAAATCACAGATACTAGTTTTGAATAACCGCCTTCCCTCCCCCCCAAAAAAAAATATTTACAAAGCTTGCAGGTCAGAGAAAACTCTAATTTAAAATTTGTTCTAAAACAAGTTGGCTTTTATGTTCCAAATCATTTTATATTGAGGAACATTCATGGGTTTGAATACCTGCAATCTAAAATATCACTGCTTAGCCGAATGTGCCTGCCTATGTTGCTTTAGAGTTTAAAGCAAAAGGATTTTTATGAAGAAGCACTTATTTCCTGCTGCCTTGTCAGTTGCATCCTTTCAAAACACTGATTTTTAAGTTTCTTACTTTTCAGAATTGTACTAATATCTTTGTCTGTTTAGGATCTTGTAACTGTCTATTGTCCAGCATCCCATTTCTTGCAGAACACTATAGAGGCTGGTGTGTCTTTATGGGCCTGGCCACATATCATTCTAAATACATGGAAAACCATATATTTACTGCAGTGATACAAATACTGTTTTTCAGAAGTGCTCTAAAATGGTACTTTGAAAACTATTTAGCTCTCAGTATGAATTCAAGCTAAAGATGCCAGTGAAGTTCTCTTGTTTGATTTATTGAAAACAGAAACTGAACTATTTTTTAAAGCACCCAACAACTCCTCTAGATTGTGGTGCAAGTCAAAGGTGGGTGTTGCTTTCACCTCAGAAAGTTATCCCTGCCACTTTTAAAGCAGTTTTCCCAGATCTGGCCCTCTTCAAATTTATCGATTCCCAGATGGCAGTTAAATTCCAATGTATCAAATTAGGCAACATTAACATATTGTTTCTCTTCCCTTTCCCTCTATTAAGAGGTAGGACAGGAGCAGTTTTTCCTGTTCTGCCCTCCACCCTCTTATTCTAAAGTACTATTGCATTGAGGGAAAGAGAAGAAATGATGCAATGGCAAAGTTGTGAAGACTACAGCTTTCCAAGCTTTATGGTATTCCACCCACCCTGTGGTAAAACCCTCCCTCGCCCCACAAAAAAACTCCAGGAACTCTTGCCTATTTTTAATTTAGAGAGATTTCACCATGATTTTTTTAAAATATATATATTTTCCTTTAATTTCTCTCAGCTACATCAGAGCTGTCATGTCAGCAGAATCCCCTGGTCATCAATATGACTGGAAAAATTACATCCCACCAAATCACCTATGCCTTGTTCAACTTCTCCTCTCTCTCTGTGAGCATCTCTGCAGTGGCTTTGCGAACCCATTTGCCATTTGACACTTCCAGCCCAAGTAATTGTCTCCCAGAGCATGAAGGTCATGGCTGCCAGAGATACAGGTAATAGATGTTGGGGATAACACATGGACCTCTTAATTATTACTGCAGCTAAAATAAAATTTAATACTTCTTTTTTAAAATCAAAGAATTGTGTTCACTTTGTTTCATCCCTATAATGTGAAGAATTATTAGAATATAAGAACATGATTTTAGTCTACCATTCTGTGTCACATGTTGGCCAACTGGATGCATTTGGAAGTCTGATAAACCCAGATTAAAAAGCAGTAGGATTAGGATTTTATTGCCAATAGGCATCATTTAAGGCATTCTGTTTCGAGTAATAAATTGCTGTAAATATTTGTAAGCCACTAATTGCCTATTCCTCTGTGAACTCTTTTCAAGCCACCCACATTAGCTGCCATTTAACTATACACTGTCTCATAAAATATTAACTTCTGATGGTTCTGAATCTCTATGCATTTAGTTTGTGGATGACCTCAATTACTAACATTGTGAGAGAGGGAGAAAAGCTCTCTCTCCATGTTATCTCAACCATGTGTGTGATTTTGTCTTCTCATTCACCCTTGTTCCAAAATAAGAGCTCAATCAACTAGAGTCTTTCCTCATAGGGGAACTGCTCCACCTCCCCCCAAACATTACACATTTTGTATCTTGTCTAGTTGTATAATATTCTTGAGAAACAGTGACCAGTATTGCAGGCAAATGGGCTTTCATCATAGATTTGCATATGAGTATTATTACATTGGTGGTTCCCTTCCTAATGACTGTACAAGTTGCCCTTTTTATAGTAGCTTCTGTTTAACATGGCTCCGAGGTATCTTTTCAGGTCAGGCAGGTGAAGTCTGGATTATTTGTGCAATAAATACACTGGTACGTACTGTATGTACAATATGTATGTATGTATGCAAGTAGTTTGATAAATTTTGCCATCTATGCTGCTAGATTGAATTTGAAGTTCAATTCAAGTTAGAATAGAATAGAATAGAATTCTTTATTGGCCGAGCGTGGTTGGACACACAAGGAATTTGTCTTGGTGCAAATACTCTCAGTATACATAAAAGAAAAGATACATTCATCAAGAGTTAGGAATCATAAGGTACAACACTTAATGATAGTCATAGGGTACAATAAGCAATCAAATCATACTAGTAAACAGTCAATATAGATTGTAAGGATACAAGCGATAAAGTTACAGTCATACAGTCACAAGTGGGAGGGGATGGGTGATAAGGAGTGATGAGAAGATTAACAGTAATAGTAGTGCAGATTTTTTAATAGTTGAATAGTGTTGAGGGAATTATTTGTTTAGCAGAGTGATGACTTTTGGGGAAAAGACTGTTCTTGTATCTAATTGTTCTGGTGTGCAGTGCTCTATAGCGTCGTTTTTAGGGAAGGAGTTGAAACAGTTTATGTCCAGGATGTAAGGGGTCTGTAAATATTTTCATAGCCGTCTTTTTGGCCTGTGCAGTATACAGGTCCTTGATTGAAGGCAGGTTGGCAGTAATTGTTTTTTCTGCAGTCCCAATTATCCTCTGAAGTCTGTGTCTGTCTTGCTGGGTGGTAGGACCAAACCAGACAGTTATAGAGGTGCAGATGATAGATTCAATAATTCCTCTGTAGAACTGTATCAGCAGCTCCTTGGGCAGTTTGAGCTTTCTGAGTTGGTGCAGAAAGAACATCCTTTGTTGTGCTTTTTTGATGACGTTTTTGATGTTAGGTGTCCATTTTAGGGCATGTGATATAGTAGAACCTAGAAATTTGAAGGTCTCTACTGTTGATACTGTGTTGTCTAGTATTGTAAGAGGTGATAGTATGGGAGGGTTTCTTCTAAAGACTACCACCATTTCTACGATTTTGAGTGTGTTCAGTTCCAGATTGTTCCAGTTACACCATGAGGCAAGTTATATAACCTCTTGTCTGCATATGGATTCATCATTGTCTCAAATGAGACCAATCACTGTTGTGTCATCAGCAAACTTCAGTATTTTAACAGATGGATCGTTTGAGATGCAGTCATTGGTATATAGGGAGAAGAGAAGTGGAGAAAGCACACAGCCTTGGGGGGCCCCTGTGCTAATTGTACACATATCAGATGTGATTCCGCCTAGCTTCACCTGCTGCTTCCTGTCTGTTAGAAAGCTTATGATCTACTTACAAGTGTGTTCAGGTACCGCTAGTTGGTTTAATTTACTTAGCAGAGTGTCTGGAATGATGGTATTGAATGCTGAACTGAAGTCTACAAAGAGGACCCTTGCGTAGGCATTTGGAGATTCAAGGTGTTGTAGGATGTAATGCAGAGCCATATTAACAACATCATCTGTCATTCTATTTGCTCGGTATGCAAACTGCATTGGATCTAAGTTAATTTTTTCTTTATATATACACTGTGCCACTCTTCCTTTGGGATGTATATAGTCTCCTTTTCAAATGCTGACTAGATTTATATCTGCAGATTTTCTGTAGGACCTTGCATTTATTACAAATACTGCTGAAGATGTTCATAACATAATACATTCTTGAATAAGTCATATTAATTGCAATTAAAATTTAAGTAGCTTACGGCAACCTACACATTTTGCTGTTTTCCTCAGGTTCTTGTCAGGATTACGATTTCAGGTGTGGAAGTTTTGCCATACACTCTTTGACTTAGTCAACTCTACTCAACTTGTTTGGAGTTTACTTCCGAGCAATGGGCAATGATGTCAAAAAGTGACATGTGATGAGTTTTGCTCATGTGGTTATAGGATCTGCTCAGACAGTAATTCCCATCCCAACAACATATATGGAAGGCTAGCTAATGCAATGGAAACAGTTCTTGAGGTTGTAATTGCTGCACTTTCTTACTCCATATTTATTCAATAATATTTAATTGGAGATCTGTATCCCACCTTTCAATCAGGAGCTTAATCTGGGTTACTTAGTACTCCCTCCTCTTTTTCCCTACAACCACAGCCTCTGAAGTAGGTTGGGCTGAGAGAGAGCCTCTGGTCTAGAGTCACCCAGTGGGCTTCAGTGACAGAGGATGAACTCAAACTTGATCTCCTACCTGTAATTCAACCCAGTTAAGGACTATTTCATACTAGTTCTCTTACTCTTTAACTTTCTCCTTAATGTTATCGTTTTAAACTGCAGGTAGTATTTTTACCTGCTAGAAAGTTGTGTGAATTTCAGAGAGGGCACATTCACAGGACTTACTATAGATTAGATTTTGCATGTGATGTCTTTAATAATATTTCAACCTTCAACTACTGTAAGATGCTGCAACAAAGGTCCAACCATTTCTAAAGCATTAGTTACAATATAGTATAATGTTTGTAAGCTCATAGTTAGTTTTGGAATGCAATTCAACATTTTAATTTTTAAAATTCTTAATATTTTAGGATCATGAACCCGAAAGATTAATGTGAACATAATGTTGATTTGATGATAAGATGTAGTCTCACAGTCTGAAGCGAAGACACTGTCATTGCTCAAAACAACTGAGGGACTAGCTGTGAGGCTGGGCTTTGAAAGAAGCTGTTTCATAAGGGAAATACAATGCAGGAAGTGTTCCATTTTGAGATCTTTGGTTTAAAGAATTGCTGTCTGAGATCTGTGATTTTTTTCTTAGTAGCTAGAATCTTGAGAGCTCCAGCTAAGGATCCAACTGAGTCCTCCTGGGAGAGAAGCAAGAGAGGGGATTTTATATTGTATAAGAAGCTATGGTGCCTGTCCTTGCATTATAAAAATGGCTCAAGGAGATAAACAAAGCAGCATTTTCACAGATATAGCTTGATCTCAGTGCATTTCATTCTAGGGAGTGAACGTCCTGAAAACTGAAATCATTAATCCATATGCAAGGGCACAGAGTCACATTGACAGGTCAATCCTTCATTAAGAAATTGCACAGGTGTAGATCCCAATTGCAATGTAAATGTATTTCTATATTGTAAAGAGGTGTACTCTTGCTATATGGCTGGTCTTAATATTATCTGGATGTTTGAAGGAGAAGTCTAAAAGGATTTTAAATGATTGATTGCATCTAAGATTGACTTGACACATTTCTCTGATAGAGGAGGAAATCTAAAATCTTATTTAGAGCAGGAATAAGAGAAAAAAAACTGTAGTCATCTATAAAGCATATACAATCAGTAATTTAAACAAGTTTAGTAAAATTTGCTGATGAAGTTTTGGGAATGCTAAACATATTTTCATTTTTTGTACAAGAATTTTTACACATCATGTAATAGAACATTCTGGGTTCTTACTTACTTTAGTGGTAAACCTGTCTCTGTGCTACCCTATTTCTGGCTGCAGCTGGAAGTTCTCACGGTACACATTTAAAAAATTACAAGTATAACTGTCAGGAAGAAATAGCTTTTGCATAACCTACTTATTGGCTGGCTAATTTTCTATGTATAATTATTTAATTGCAGGGATTGGCAACCTTTTAGTCTCCTTGGATTACAAAGTACTTTTTGAGGGGCTTGGAATTGCAAAGTCACATTATCTGGTGGTGGAACTGCATTTGGGGAGAAAGATTTTATTTGTTTAATTGTGATATTTTATGCTTCAGTACAGTACTGTATGACTGTCTGATTCCTAACTCAAAGTAGTACAAAAATGTGCAGCCATAACAATTTTTGTCAGACCACTAACCATAGATTTATATCAATATTAATAAATAAGCAATTTGGTATGTTTATATATGGAAACAAAACAAATTTCCTTGGAATGGTTATTCTGAGATACCCAAGATATTAAACACACAGGAAACCCAAGTTAAAACCCCAAGTTTCTACAAATTCTTCCCTAGAGGGTAAATATGAAATTAAGCTCCATTTGTGTAGAACAATAGTGTGCGGTATGTACATGTCTATAATAATTTCAATGTAGGATACTATATACATAAATACCCACTAGACATACTGTAAATCATCAGCATGTGACAACTATCCACATGTTTCCTTGTTTTATTCTATTTTTATAGTTTTTTGAAATATTTTTTATAATTACAGTAATAATGATAACTGTTTTATTAGCTGTTTTAGCTTTGTTGT